TTGATTTCAGTTTTCATCCCTAGATTTCCGTGAGCACATTTTAAGTCATAATACACATGATTACAGATACCTTAATAAAACCTGCCCTTTACAATAAACACTTTAGGAGCCTTTTTTCTTACTTTTCCTTAATGATTTAAACTAGATTTGCCAATGGTCGTTCTACTGGGCTCATTTTGGACAGTGGAGCCACTCATACCACTGCGATTCCAGTTCACGATGGCTATGTCCTTCAGCAAGGTACGTGTGTTTACCCAGAGTGCACGAGACGACGGGAGCTGTCGTGAGCACACAGATAACGGACTGTCAAAAGAGATCAGTGTCCAAATAATGTCTTTTTAAAAACTCTTTGAAATATAATGCATATTTAAAACCATTGCATGGCTTCACGCATGCTTTGAGTGATTGTTCAGTTAATTCTACTTGAAAAAATTATCGATGTTTAAATCTGAAGAGGGACTCTGTCCCAAGGAGTTTGGGTTTAATGCTTCCTTAGCCTTGTTTAATCTGTTTCTTAGGTATTGTGAAATCGCCTCTTGCTGGAGACTTTATTACTATGCAATGCAGAGAACTCTTCCAAGAAATGAACATAGAACTGATTCCTCCGTATATGATTGCATCAAAAGTAAGCGATGATGGGATTTTCTTCTTGGAAGTTATTCCACCTCTTCACCCCACGTTGTGAGCTCTGTTAACTTAGCACATGCTTTTGGTCCTCAGGAACCTGTGCGGGAAGGATCTCCGGCAAACTGGAAAAGAAAAGAGAAGTTGCCTCAGGTGACAAGGTCTTGGCACAATTATATGTGTAATGTAAGTTACCCTTATTCTCTTTATGAAAGAGTTACAGGCTGTAGGTCTTTGAATGCAATATGAGCACTAGTTTCAAATGTTACCTTTTTCATGATACTTTGTAAAAATAGCTTTTTCGTGGGGAGGTTGGGGGTGCTTTTCATACTTGCCAAACAAATAGGTCAAGAAACTACTGTGGTGAAACGTGGCATTAATTTTGTCTTGGGGGTAAAAACAAGCATTATGCTTGTGGACAGTTTTTGGTGGAGAAAGTGGTTTTCAGCTGTGGAGATCTGCTGGTATTGCTCAGTCATGTTCTCTTTCCTGACGTCAGTCAGCCATATAAAAATGCATGTTGTTCATAGCTAGCTGCCCACGAGAGTTTCTTTACTAAAAACCATTTCTGAACGTATGACTTAATGACGGAGGAGAGGTTAGTAAAATGACCTCTTACATCACAGATACACATTCATTTCTCACAGTAAAAGGATTTGAAAGCCATAGTTAACTATGGCAAAGATATCTCTTATCTGACAGTGTTTTGTACCTAACTATAAAGATTTTTTTATGAGTGTTCAGTACAAGGAAAAATTGTGAAGATGATTAATAATTTTGCCAAGATTTTAGACAGGATTTTTCCTTAGCAGCCCAGAGGTCATGTATTTTTCAGAGCAGATTTTTAATTGTTTTGCACTATATGAAGTCATTAAAAATTACTTAAAATGCTACATATATTGCATGTATATATATATTCAGGTAATGAAATCTTGCTTCTAAGTCTAAGTTTATTAAGAAAAAAATGTTATTTTGAAAAGTTTTGTTATGCGGGACCGCGGTACAAGGGTTCCTGGATGTTTTTCTCCCATCAGTGTTCCATAGGTGATATCACTTAATAATCTGCCATTTAGCTTCTAATGCAGATATTTGGAGATGGGTTTCTTGATTTTTCCAGAGTCCTTGCTAGACAGATTTACACCATTGAATGACTTACTCATCCAGGAACATGGTCCAGTTGCATTAAGAAAAGTATTTGGTATCTAATGTTACGAAAGTATAGATTGCAATGACACATCTCAATAACCTTGTTTTTAAACTGATTTTTTTTTTTTTTTCTTTCCAATCCATAGTGTGTGATTCAGGATTTTCAAGCTTCAGTACTTCAAGTGTCAGATTCAACTTACGATGAACAGTATGTTTTCTTATTTTGTCTACGAGACTTATAATTTAATAGCATATTAAAACCTTCAAAGTAATCACTTACAAAACTGTATAGTTCATAAATGAGGAAAGAAATTGATTCGTTTAGTTAAAAAAATATCAGAATAGGCTTATCTAGTCTAAAGGAAAAAAGTTATGTTTTGAAATACTGAGTAACATTTTAAAAGGAAGTAAAACATTCTCACTCTATTTTCTTGTGATTTGATTCCTTAGTAGTTTAAAATTTTGAAGAGAATTGTTTTTGCCTTGTGTTTAATATGTTTTCAGGGTGGCTGCACAGATGCCCACCGTTCATTACGAATTCCCTAATGGCTACAACTGTGATTTTGGAGCAGAACGGTTAAAGATTCCTGAAGGATTATTTGACCCTTCCAATGTAAAGGTATGAAAGCATTTCATAAAAGCCTGGCCTTTTCTGTCTATGCAATGTACTTGTGTAATTTAAAGCCTAGATAATGCTGACTAAATTTTTTTATATGTACTTTATTTTTGATATTCTTCTGTGTCACTACTCATTTTATTTTGTTGTAGGGATTATCAGGAAACACGATGTTGGGAGTCAGTCATGTTGTCACTACGAGTGTTGGAATGTGCGATATTGACATCAGACCAGTAAGTGCCAGTCTCCTGTTTGATGGTATAAAGGTATCTTTTAGCGCAGTGGAGTGCTGCGCCAAACTCATTTTTAAGTTTAAGTTGGCAGGTTTGGGCGTTGACTTTGAAGTCCCTTTTACAACAGAATGTGTAAAAAGATGAAGTACTAGGAAAGGAAAAACGCAAAACTCTAGAGCTGTGGTGTCCAGTGTCGAAGCTGCCGCTACATGTGGCAATTAAATAGAAACAAATTTTGAATTTACTTTTTGAGTTGCAATAGTCACATTATAAGTGCTGCTACTGTATGACAGTGCACATAGAGAACATTTCATCATCACAGAGTTCTTTGGGGGCAGCGCTGTTCTAGAGATTTCCTGAAATGTGACAAACCAAAATATATATTATTGATTTTTCTTGTATGTAGTAGTTTTACTTTTTCAAGAAGGTGAGGTTTAAATTATGTAACTTACATGGAGTGCTGTTTAAATGTTCTTAGCTTCATATTTTTTCATGCTTTTCTAAGTTTTAATACTCCATAATATATGTTACATTAATTAGTTTATTTATTATATCATATTTAAACTCCAAATTTAATTTGTAGCCAAAATCCATTGCTTAGGTTAGAACATAGGGCCAATAGCTAAGGGTGTATTAAAAAACCATGCTGTTAAAAAAGACGTTTAGATGACTATGAAAATATTTCTCATTTCAGCTGGACATTAGGATGCATGTGATGTTTCTAGAATGATAAGAATACACGTATGGACTTTTTTAGTGCAAACTCAAGGCCACTTTTGGGAGAATGCAATTGAATTGAAGTACATTTACTGTAAGAGAATGATGCCTTTATTTTTAGCTAGATTTCTCCTTTTAACTAATGTAGATTGCAGTGATGCTACTGTATTCCAATTTATCCTTCAAAAGTTAGATGACTTAGATCTTTGTAAGAAATTTTTAAGGGTAAACCGGTCAAATATATGGTGACAGATGGCTATTTAAGTGGTGAACACAATGTAATATACATATGACATATTATTTAATTGTACACTTGAAACCTATAAATTTTAAAACTAACGTCACACCCAATAATTTTAATTAAAGAAATATACAAATAAAACAAAAAGAACCACTTGAAAAAGAAAGAAAACATTTTAAAAATATGAACGTATTCACTGAAAAAGCAGCCTGACGTTTAACTTTATGATGCGTATGTGCAATTTGGAGGTGAATATATTCCTTAAGTAGGAATTTATCTGGAGAGGCCTCAGCATGTGGGTTTGAAAAAGCTCTCCATGTGGTTCTGATGCACACCTGTGCAAAAGAGAAAGGCAGCTGTAATTTGCAGGAATATTGTCAGAGTGTGCGTCATTCATCACAGTCATGGAATAATCTTGTTGTCTAATTTTAAATACTAGAACTTCTAGATAAGCATTCTAAGCCGAAGTCATCATAAAATATCTCCCTAACTAAATATTGAC